GTGGCCAACATTTGTAGCAGAGATAGCTACTTTTAGCTCCCTTGGTTGTTTTTTTCATTCTTTCAAAGTTAGCTTTCTTCCTCGCCGTTTTAATGAACGGGCTCATTGTCTAGCCATAAAAGCCCGAGCTCGTAGTAGTATTTTCTCCCATATAAGCAAGTCGGTTCTTGATTGGTTCTCTATAAAAAAGAATCCATTTCCGATTACTTAATAAAAATGGTGTTCGACAGAAAAAAAAAAGAAAAAAAAGAAAAAAAAAAAGGGTTTATGTGTCACACACATAATTTCAAAATGGTATTTGCTGCCAATTTTAAGTCAACACTGTTTTTTTTTTAGGAACGACTAGTAGTCTAGAACCTAAGACCTCAATGGGACATTATTTTTCTAGGGCATAGAATTGACTAATTGAGTATGTCACAACCCACTCTTGCTATTATTAGAAAATTATACAATCTAAATATATTCTAACGAAGAAAACCGAAGGAAAGAAGAGAAAATTTTAGTGTATAAATTGTATTTGGAGCATTTCTGCAATATGTCATAAGTATAATTAACTATATTCTAATAGTCTCCACTTATAGATATACTAGATCATCACCCGTACTAAAGTACGGGTTGAATTTTATTTATTACAAAATTTATATGATATATATATTAGAACTACGTTTTAATATATTATAATAGCAAGTGAAAAAATATTAATTTTTTTGTCAGTCCCTATATACAATATTAGAATAGATATAGAATTTTTTCTATAATACTCAATTATGGATAATTTTTTTTTTAAGATATGAAAACGGAAAATAATTTTATTTTATCAAAAGTAATATTTTTTGAACAATGAGTTAATTTATGTTAACAACCACAAAATAGGATTGCATATATTTCAGTTAGATCAAAAATTAAAATATCATAAATAAATCGCATATAAAACATAGATTATTTTGAATTAATTAAGAAAATTATGTATTATTTTGAATTAATTTAGAAAATTCTTTTTCAATTCATAATTCTTTGGTTGTTGAAATAGAGATTTGTTTGAGCTAATCTAATTACAGAATTTGTTTGAGATTTATAATTACGGAATTTACCAATTATTCGCATAATCGAATATGTTATAAACATATATTTAGTATATAATAATACCAAAATCAATCCGTGCGTGGAGTCTATATTTTTATTTTAGAATCTCAATATTTCATTTTAAAATATTGCGTGCACAATCTATTATTCGTTAATTCTAAAATTGCTTGCGGAATCAAATTTTCAAATATTTAGAGGTGTCAAACCATATTTAAATGTTCATCATATAATATATTATATTTAACCCGCTACCTATTATAAATATTTTTAAAAATAATCAAATTAGTGTATTTATAATTTTTAACTTTTTGAACTATTAAGTATTGATGGTATTCTCTAAAAATATCAAATAAAACTTATTTTAAATGTTGCAAATTAAAATATTTAAATTTTTATTGTAGTATATAAAATTATACATTTCAAAAAAATAAATGTATGAAATCGAATATAAATATTCAAATTCTGACCCGTTGCTCAGTCGGAATTTTTGTTGATTTTATTTTTGTGTAAAAAAAATATATTACTCAAGTCTGAATTTTTGACCCGTTTAATTGTTTTCTTTATAGATTGAACAATTTATATGCGTTTTTAAAAATTCAAATCTTGGCATATGCAGAAAAAAAATTTACTTTTTTTTTTTATTATGTAGATGATATGATGATTTATTTGTTTCATATTAATGTAATCATATTGAGATGAGAGGTGAAGTTTAATGATTAATAACAAATTAATATGGTAACTTAGATATCAAATCTTATATGTTTATTTTGATTGGTCATTTAAAAAAAAAATAATAGATTTTCGTTTTATAATTTAATTAAATTAATTAAATGACATAAATTAGTATTTTACTTGTTTACCCTTAATGAATTGAATGAAATTTGTTCTAAAAGAAAATTTTTGTAATGGCATTCTTAAGTAAATTCTTACAAAAGGGAAGGTTAGTTAAGGGTATCTTATAAAGTGTACTCCCCAAATAATAGTATAGGATCTAAATAAAATAGGTGGTATAGAGATAATTGTATATTGGAATGACAAAAAGAATTCGTATCTCTAAAAGAATCAGATGAACAAAACCTAAAAATTATTAAACAAACAGGCAAGTAAGAAATATAAATTGAATTGTAAACTTTTTTTGCTGTTACTGAAAATTTGCAAACTTTGAGATTTTTTTATCTTTTTGCAATTCGGTCATGTAAAAAAGAAAATTCTGCTTAAAATGATTGAGATATGAATTTTGCTAGTCATTTCTTCAACTAACTGAGCTATTTTTTCATACAGGACGATAAATTTTCTAATAGAAGGGTTTATGTGTCACACACATAATTTCAAAATAGTATTTTCTGCGACTTTTAAGTCAACAATGTTTTTATTTTTAAGAACGACTAGAACCTATGACCTCAATGGGACATTATTTTCCTAGGGCATAGAATTGACAATTATCTAAAGCAAGTTTTTATATAATACACTAGATTTTAACCCGCGGTACACCGCGGGATGATTTATTTTTAAAGTTAGTATAAGAATATTTTGTAAATTGTATCTCCTTATAAAATATTTATTTATATTATAGTTTACAATTGTTATTAAGTAACGGTATAGCACGAGTCCACGAGACAATTGTTAATAAATTGAGGATTTAACCCGTATTAAAGCAGCATGTTAATGATATTTATAAATATTGATTCAAAATTGTCCGCCATATAAACCCGTTCCAAAATATAACTCGTTCCGTAATTTCTTAACCCGTCCCGTGATTTATTTTTATTTTAAAATTTAATAATTATTTATTATATATAAAAGCTTACAAATCATATCATTCTCTAAGACATTTATATTTTAATAAACTGAAGATTTAATATGTATTAAAGCGGCATGTTAATGATATTTTAAAATTTTATAAATATTGATTCAAACTCGTCCACCATATAACTTAGTTCCGAAATATAACCCGTCCTGTAACTTTTTAACATGTCCCGTGATTTGTTTTCTAAAAGTAATAATTTTTAAAATTTAACGATTATTTATTATATATAAAAGTTTGTAAATTTTATAATTTTTTAAGATATTTATATTTTATAGTTTACAATTGTTATTAAGTAACATTATACCACGGGACAATTTTTGGTTTTATACAATCTTTTCTAAATGAGACTGATTTAATATGTCTAATATTGGTGGTATTAAAAAAAATTAAAGATTTAATCCGTATTGAAGCGGCGGATTAATGATATTTTAATCTTTTTATTATTGTTGATTTAAAAACCCGTTCCGCCAAACCCGTCCCGCCAAAAAACTTATTAATTTTATTAGTGTTGATCTTATTTATGATATGATTCTGAATCATTGTCTAAATATTTTAATCGATGTAGAACGTTGAACACACATTTTCGTCAATTGGATAATATATGTCCGTTTTTAAAATTTCGAATCACAGTATATGCAGAAAAAAAAAAAAATTTTTACTTATGTATTATATGATGATTCAAAACAGTTAAAAACAAATCAAAAAAAGATGATAGGAGAATCAGAATTCTAAATCTTAATCAAATCTTCTAAATATCTAAATTATTAAATATAGAATATCCGGTGTATGAGTTGGGTTTTATTTAACCCGATCCAAATATTTTTTTGTGAAGGAATTTAAAAAAACGGGTCGGATATCCGATTAACCCAGAAGCATTTTTACCCACCCGTCACCAAAGTGTTGCAAAAATACTAGTATAGATGTAACTCAGGTCCGCGGGCTTGATCCATATTGTACCATGGTGAGGTGGGTTTGGACATCGTTTTTATATCCATATAATAGCAGGTCTCGCCGGCAAGCCTAAACGGATTGCGGGGTTTAGCGGGTTTTGTCTGTAGATTTATAGATCGATCTGTGGGATACAAATGTTTAATAAAAATAAATATATTATATAGACAGATAAATATTATTACTTAATTATGAAAATATAATATGTGAAATATGTGATAATTTAAGAAATAATAATTTATAATATCTAAAAAGAGTAAATAATGCCCATCGTGGGCTAGCCCAGATGGTCGTGGGCCGGCCTGTTTGACACTTCTACTTGGATCTCTAAACCGAATACCCGAAAACCCAAAATATCCCATATGGTCGTGGGCCGGCCCGTTTGACACTTCTACCTGGATCTCTAAACCGAATATCCGAAAACCCAAAATATCCGAACCAAACCCAAACGGGTATCCGGATGCCTAGTCCTATTTGGTTGGTTCTTATTTTCTAGAGGTGTCAATTCTGACAACGTTTTTACTTCTGCCCTTTCATCTTCTCTAAATCGAAATGACAACCTCGAGAGGAAAGTTTACGATGTAAGTAATCCCATCCCTATCTCTCTCTCAATCCATTAGTTTTTTTTTTCGTAATTGTTTCTTTGGGTTTTCGTAATCATATATTTGATCAGTTCACTAGATTGATGTATTTCTCTTTTGTTAAATTCGATCGGTTGAATCTGAAATGGGTTATTAAAATTTAGTTTCACAATTTTGGGTGAGGAGGGAATCTAGGTGATCAGTCGTTCAGAAAATTTAGGGATTCTATGACCTATGCACGATGTTTCAGTTATTGTTTTTTTTTTTTTTCTCTCTCTTTAATCGCAATAATCTTTGGTTTTCTGAATAAAATGTCATATTAAATGTAGAATCTAGCATGATTTATTGATCTGATAAATCTTAGTGGAGTTCGTGGCCAATATATTGATTCCCTTAAATATTTATAACTTCCACTATGAAACATTTAGGGTTTCTAAGACAAACTTTTATTGTTTTCTGGGCTTTCTTGAAGCATCTTGGTTTGAGACAATTTTTAATCTCATGGTTTTGTGGTATTTCTTGTCTTACAGCTCCAAGAGCAAACCTATATATATGTAAGCTAATTTGATGATCGAAATCTTTATGTAGGTCAAACGAAGATGTCATTAACAATGGGCAAGAGAAGAAGGTTCTGACTTTTGCTCACCTTACCTCAAGCCTGTTGGAAATGATAATGTCTTATCTCGTTTTAAGAGATAACATTCGTGCGTCGGCTGTCTGCAAGGCATGGCGTAAAGCGGCCGAATCTGTTCGGGTTGTGGAGAAGCATCCATGGGTTATCACCTTTCCGAAGCATGAAGACTTGACTATCCTATACGATCCATTGGAACGGAAGAGGTACACACTGAATTTACCCGAGATAGTTGGAACCAATGTTTGTTACTCGAAAGACGGATGGTTGCTTATGCGAAGATCAAGTTTAGTGGACATGTTCTTCTTCAACCCTTATACTCGGGAGCTTATAAACTTGCCAAAGTGTGAGTTGTCCTTTCAAGCAATTGCTTTCTCTTCTGCCCCTACATCAGGTACTTGTGTGGTAATAGCGTTAAGGCCTTTTACGAGATTTGTCGTTCGTATCAGCATTTGTTATCTTGGAGCAATTGAGTGGACTACTCAAGATTTCTCTTGCTCTCTCGGATTTGACCCCTACATGCATAGCAACCTTGTCTATGCCAATGACCACTTCTATTGCTTCAGCTCGGGAGGTGTTCTAGTTGACTTTGATCTAGCTTCCCGTACAATGAGTCATCAAGCATGGAATGAACATAAATGCCCTTATATGCATAATGAGGAATGGTTTAATCTGCCCAAGAGAATTTACTTGGCTGAGCAGAAAGGAGAGCTCTTTCTCATGTATACATGTAGCAGCGAGATACCGATGGTGTATAAACTTGTCTCCTCGGATTGGGAGGAGATGAGTACTACTCTTGAGGGCGTGACAATCTTTGCAAGTATGTACTCTTCAGAGACGAGATTGGGTGTTCTTGGTATGTGGAACAGTGTGTACTTCCCAAAGTATGGTTTACAAGGTAAGGGATGTGTATCCTACTCGTTTGATGAAGGCAGGTTCTATCCGCGTAAGAAGCTTCCAAAACCAACAATATGGCAAATGCAGAAAGAACTTTGCCCTCTTAGGAGTCTTTGGATCGAGCCACCGTCTAAGGACATCTTAGATTTGATGAAATGATAAGCAGTTGGATTATGGTAAAGGTAAGCTGAGCTAGCTTTGCCTTCGGGTACTTTTTTTATTTGATCATTGCATATGTGAAACTTATGGCGAGTTTAAGATTCTGTACTGTTATGAAAACTTACTTTTCAGCTTTATGTTCTTCCGAAGTCTTTTGTATGTTACTGATTTGTGGTTATGCAACATTTTGAGTTTATGTTTTAATTTCCATAGTCTTTTGCATGTGATTTAATATTCATATCATTCAGTAATTTTAGCCTAAAACTTTAACATGAAGATATATTTTATTAATACGAATGCTCATATCATATAGTATAATATAGACTATGGCTCATATCAAGTAACCCATAAAAAACTTTGCTATGGCTCATATCAAGTAACCCATATGGAAACTTTGCTATTGCTTGTCCCACAAGAAACTCATCACCATTACTCGTGGGAACATCCTCGTATCTCATAATAATAATGGTGAATCCAAGACTTTCACTGTTTCTCCTCTTCAATAACTTAGGTATTCATTTTTTACCTTTTTGTTTTTGGCATCTAATTATTTACAAGACCAACCGTTAGAGATGCCAATTTTAATTCAAAACAATGTTTTTTTTTTAAGAACGACTAAAAGAACCTAGCTAACACCACAATGGGACAATATTTTCCTAGGGCATAGAACTGAAAATAATCTAAAGCAGTTTATATAATACAAAAGACTGAATAAAATTTAAAACCATAACAAAACGCTAGTTTTTGTTTGCCAATAAACAAAAACAACTAATTATAAAACCTGGGAAAATAAATGTCCCATTGTGGTGTTAGCTAGGTTCTTTTAGTCGTTCTTAAAAAACAAAACATTGTTTTGATAAGATTGAAGTACTCGAAATTGAAAAAAAACATTGTTTCGTTTCATCTCTAATGAGAACAAATGATAAGCAGAACTCGAAATTTTTGACTTTTTTTTTTCACCTGTGCTTACTGCGTTTAGATGGTGGCATGTTCTTCATGCTGCTACGACCGCCTCCACCGCTAGTTCCAGGTCGCGATTTCCCAAACGCTTTCATCTTCCTTCTCCTCCTCTCTTCCTCACTATCAAACTGAACTCCATGCTCTGTGTCTGCATTAGTAGCTTCTCTCTCAAGTTCATCCCAAGTCTTACCTTTCTCTTCCTCTGACTCTTGCTCTGAGTCCTCTTCTTCTTCATCCTCTGACTCCTCTTCTTCTTCATCCTCTGACTCAGACTCAGCCTCTACATCTGACGGTTCATATCCTTTGTCTGACTCCTCAGAGCCTCCAGATTCTGAATCACTTCCGTCCAGATTCAAAAACTCCCATCCTCCATCATCTATAAAGCTCTGTGGATCATCCGTGATCTTCTTCAGGATCTGTCTCCAGTTCAGATTCAGTTTGCTCTCGTAGTACTGTATATCTATAGTGTCAAGCCACTCCTTTATCCCCTCTAGCGAACTTGTGGGAACTGAGTCAACCCTGAGAACATCTTTCTTGAAGTCCTTGAAGATAATAGCCATGTCAAAGCTCCTCTGCCCAAACCCAACTCTTTCAAGATTCACTATCTCAATCTCACTCAGACTTACCACGAGGAACGGGTGTTCTGTCAGCTCAACTAAGCAGCTCGAGGTCGGTATAATGAATGAAGATGTCTTATGCGGAACACCATGGAAACCAAGCTCTCTCAGAGGTTGATCAAACTCTAGGCCAAGACTTGCAAACTGGGGTAGTTGCCACATATCATTGACCCGGTTAGCAAAATGATTGAACTCCATGTTGATCTTGTTCTTCCTATCGCGCTCTCGCTGTTCTTCATCTATCTCATCTAGATCATAGGCTGATGATCTCCTCCCACCACCTAAAGACTGCACAGCATCCATTACCTCCACATAAAACTGGACGTCCTTTGTCTTCTTGGTTCCTACCATGATGTGGTTATGCAAATGAAAATGAAGGAGGGTGGTCATCTCCTTCTCAGCCGGTTGGATAAACGCATGCTTTATGTTTGCAAACAGGACATCCACGCGGTCGTTGGTCGTTGAATACCTGAAACCATTGGCATGAGCTTCCAGTGTCCCACGAATCTTCTTGCGCCCACTAAAAGGCGGACGGATCCATAGGTTCGGCAACCTTAAGGGTTTGGACTTGTTACTTGCAATCTTAAGTTTCTCTTGAGTCACCAATGACGTTCTTTCCACTCTCTCTGACTCCCGGGACGTGACTTTCCGTTTAAGCGTCTTAAACGACTGAACTACTTGGCTGCTATGCTTTGAATCCTTGGTCCGGAAAGAAACCTCCTTGATGTAAATAGCGTCCTGATTTTTCAAAGAGTTTGAGTCATTAGGGTTTAAGGGTGTACCCGGGACATTGAAGATGATACGGATGGTATTTTGATTGCCTAAGACTGTTCTTATTGTAGTCACGTTGAATGGAACCATGATGCCGTATATTGGTAATAATACAGCGTTGCTCTTGTGATCAACCATGATCATCAAATCCCGAGGTTGGGGAATCTCGTTAATATTCTTGTACAACGACATGTCACCAGCCACAAACCACAAACCAAGAATCAAACGTAGAAAGAAAACCCTAACAAAATAAACTTCAACGAGAACAAGCTCTCTTCTTTTGGATGCCTCTTCTAAGACATCTCTCTATATATAAGAAATCGTAAACACAAACCTAAAGAGAAAAGGATAATAACAAAAAGGAATTAATTAACTTGTGTTTTCTTTTTCCTTTATTATTTAATATGGTTGTATATATGCATTAGGAAATCATACTAATAAATATTGAGCAGATCTAGGGTTTAGAACATCTGTAGCTCTCGGCTTTCGGTTCCATAGCCGCTGCGACCTCTCTCCATAATAAGCAGTTCATATAATTGAAGCTTTATCGAAGGAGGAACATGATAGTACAAACTTGTCGATGCTCAGACGACGGCTAGGGTTTTGTCGAATCAAAGAAAAAGAGAAGATGAAACGAGAGAAATTTTGTTGTTTATTTATTTGTGTGGTCTTAATTAATTCTTATAGCATTTTTGTGATTATCATAAAAAAAAAAAAGGGCTAATATGGATTTTTTCTAAAAATATAAGAGTTAATCGAATAAGCCCTCGATTTCCAAAGAGTATTAAATGATTATTGTTCTAAAGTTAATTTTGGGTAGTTTTCACATATATTAATGATTTTACAAAACAACAAGGTAACAGAAAAAGATGTATATAAATGGTGAGAAATTTTACTAGAGAGTAATTTCTAGGATTCTAATTTCTAAGATTGATAAAGTGTGAATGGAAAAAAATAGGTTTAAAATTAAAAACATTTTAATAAAATATTTTTTTTCTACGGTCCCTTAGTGTGTTCATGGATCATAATATTAATTACCTTATTTGATTAATAAAATTAGCATTCGTCTTTAAAAAAATGGTATATCTCCATGTTAAAGTTTTTGACTATAATTACTCTTTAAATGATATGAAAATTAAATCACATGGAAATAAAAAACAAGAGGAGCAAAATTGATGGTTTTCTGAAGTCTGATGAAAGAGTTTTTAACAAGCGTATAAATCATTTACTGAAGATGAGTTTTGCTATAACAAAGATAACAAAAAACATAAGTAAAATAGCGATTTTATGCGGCCTAATGAAAGAGCTTTTGATAAATATAGAAATCATTTGTTGATTGATGAGTTTTTAATAATTATGTTGAATCCGGATCTCAATATTACTGACGAGATGCTTTGTTGGTAATTACTTTTTTATTTTTTATGTCGTCCACAATCAAAACTCTAAAATTTTCGACGGAACGTTAATTGATTCTGATGTTACAAACCGGGTGTCAGAAATTCTGAAAACGAGGAAGTACCTATCATCACATGCAAAGAGAATGCCATGAAGTGATGACGTTCGTTGTTTTCTTATTGTCTTAGATTTTTTTTGTTTTTTTTTAATGATATCTTCTTATTTTCTTACCATTTATAATATTCTCTTATCTCTCATGATTTTACCGTTTATACACAATAATTTCCGCGCATGTGCGCGGACAGTCACCTAGTTACTCTTTGAATGATATGAAAATTAAATCACATGGAAAAAGACTATGGAAGTTAAATAATAAACTAAATCTTTTTGCATAACCTCAAATCAGTCGCATACAAAAACTTTGAAAGTTAAAACATTGAGCTTAAAAGTAAGTTTTCATAACATTACGGAAAAACGGTCTATTTCCCCATGAGAAGTATGCATATCACGCCAGATAGAGCCCGTTCTTTGACCTCGGTCTATATGTCCATGAAACGGAAATTATATACATATTTCTCCCCAAAACGTAAGTTCAATAGCTAAATCTCCCTGAATTAATACTTCGAGATCTATTAACCCACATGTCTGGGTTTCGTCGGTTTAAGTTTACTTAACCGTATATAACCAAAGAAAACCTGATTTTGACCCGATTAAAACACAAAACCCAATCCCATTCTTCTTCTTTCATCTTCTTCTTCTCTTCTTCACCCGATTTCAAAAACTGGGTTTTGTTTTTGTCAAAATTGGAATAAAGAAGAGGCATTAATGGGTCGGTCGGGTTAGGGTTAATTTTTGATAATTTTGGTTTTGTTTTGGTTAAAGTTTGTTTTAAAATGGTTAAGACGGAATTGGTGTACATTAAACCGACAAAACCCAGACATGTGGGTTAATAGATCTCGAAGTATTAATTCAGGGAGATTTAGCTATTGAACTTACGTTTTGGGGAGAAATAGGTATATAACTTCCGTTTCATGGACATATAGACCGAGGTCAAAGAACGGGCTCTATCTGGCGTGATATGCATACTTCTCATAGGAAATAGACCGTTTTCCCATTACTGAATCTTAAAGTCGCCATAAGTTTCACACATGCTATGATGATCAAATACATATATCAAATAAAAAACGAAAAGTCAAAGTTAGCTCAAACCCGACTGAATTTTCTTCTCCACAAGTCACAAACACCATACCTATTAACCTAAATATCATACTAATAAATCATGAACATATTCCTCACAAAACTGTTGGTTTTCTCTCTTTAAACTTTTGATTTCTTTAAATCATTCTCATTCTCCTTAACTTCTTTCAACATAATTACATACTCATACTTTACTATGTTTCTTAGTTACTACAACATGATTACTTAGACTCTAAACATAACAACTTCTACTAGGCCATGCTACTAGGATCTAGTGTACAAGCAACCTTAAGCACCTTATTTTTAGACTGCAGCTACTCATTAACCACTCTTAACAACTCTCGTAACATTTAACAGTTATACATGGACAACTCAATTACTAGTCTTGGGCGTTCGGTTATCCGATCGGTTATTAGTTTTTTCGGTTCTAAAATTTAGTATCCATTCGGGTATTTTGAAATTTCGGTTCGGTTTGGTTTCAGTTCCAGTTCTTTCGGTTTTAAAATTTAGTATCCATTCAGTTATTTTGCTTTGGATATTTTCGGATATTTCGGTAATTTTTGGGTATTTTCGGATATTTTCGGTTTTTTTAGTATTTTTACTATTTTTATATATTTTTCAAGTATTTTTGATTATTTGGTCTATAAATAATCACTACAAAAAATGCGGCACTTTACGTCAGTTATTAATGACTTTAACGTCAGTTATTAATTGACTTAAACAAGTTGACGTTGGTTTAATAACCGTCGTAACATCGTTTGACGTTAATTATATTAGCTTCACTTTACAAAGTGACGTTTTCTTTTACGTTGAAAGCATGCGTCGGTTTTACTAAATCTAACAACGGTTTAATAACCGACTCAAAAGTCAAATCTCATTTGTTTATGTCACTTATAAAACCGACGTAACTATTGTTCATTTATAATTATTTTTTCTTCAATTAATATAATATTGTATATATATACACATATATAGTTAGTCTATATAGATGACCTTAGTGAATACAAATTTCAAAAGATAACACATAATAATTCTTTGACCAAGAAAAGATACACATAAAATTCAATTAATAAAATATATTCAATTTTACACGGAATATAAATGTCACCATAACTATGTCCCAGAATATAAGTAGAATAGAAATTGTCTGGTATACATATAGAAATGTTACTGCACACCAATTCTTGAAAGAGAAATAAGCATATCTGACCTGAAAAAAAAACAAAGTAGCCATAATCAGTAACCAGGAAAAAAAATAACAGCAGAGTCTCAGTTTTTCATGATCTCCAATAGTATCATTTCAATGACTGTTTTCTTTTTGACAGAAATGGAAATTGGAAACCACAAACATAGTATCGATAACTCATGGAGTCATAAAAATATCAGTTAAACATATATTCTTATTGAGACAAAATCCAGAAGCAACAAACGTGTTATTATAATCAATCAAACGTGTTAAACAAAATTCAATGCTTATCAGTAAAATACAAATCCAGAATCAAAACATGTATAATTATATATCTCACAACACTCACAACACATCACAGAGATATATTATAATCAATCAAACGTGTTAAACAAAATTCAATGAATTGTGTGTAAAATACAAATCGAGAATCAATTTCACTCATTTTCAACAAAAATTTAAAACAAAATTCACAAATCCAGAATCAATTTCACTCACGCAAGAAGCAAACAAGGAAAACATGATGAATTGTGTGTGTTGTTCAGATTCTTTGATGAAGCAACTAAGAGCTTCAGTATCTCTTTCAAGGATATGTTAATGTTCATGTTAAAGTCTCTTAGTTTTTTTTCCTTTCGAGAACCATAGCATAATCAAAACTTCAATAAAACAAACACAAATCTCAAATAGGCTAATAGTCGACAATCAATCTAGAGGGAGCAAGTGAATGGTACCTTGAATTTTGGAGTTGGCGAGAAAAAATCAAATCGCGATTGATGAGATCGATGAACGATTCGGGATCTATTGAGATTGACGAACGCTTGAAATCTACTTAGAAATTCATAGAAACGAAAAACCCCATGATTTGTTCGATGACACTGAAGTTCTTCGAAGAAGAAGATGCTCGTATTTTCTGGGTTTGAGAAGCTTCGGAGAAGAAGATGCTCGTATGTTCTCCGAAGAAGAATGCTCGTGTTTTCACTAAGTCTTTAGTGGTTGGGCTTTAATTCCAATAATAGCCCACCAAATTAAATCTGTCAAAAAAATAGCCCACCAATTTGAATCATATTTGCGTTGGTTTTTGCAGTCGGTTACTAAACCGACTCTAGATCCCTTCTTTTTAAACAACTTTACGTCATTTTCTAAAGTAACGTTAATTAAGTGACTTTACATTATAGATTTCTTGTAGTGAACTAGTATTTTTGATTATTTAGTTTATAAATAACTAATACTTTTGAAAATATAATTGTATTTCAGGTATTTCGGTTACCTGAAATATGTCGGTTCGGTACCAATTCGGTTGCGGTTATTTCGGTTATTGAAATTAGTATCCATTCGGTTATTTTCAAATTTTTGGTTCGGTTCGGTTCGACTTTTTTTGCTTCGGTTTTGGTTCCAGTACATTCGGTTCGTTTTATTTGATCAGGCCTATCAATTACAACTACGATTGGGCTTTAGTTAGACCCATTAGTCAAACACCTTTCTTCTGTTGCGCCTCACCTTAACC